TATATTATTAATAACAACTTCAAAACCGGTTAATTAACAAGACACCTTAAAAAGAGACACAGAGACACGTTATAAAAATATCAAAATAATGTGAGATAGTTGTTCTAACGAAAGAAATAGTAAATATCTTGTAAAAACCGTGGATTGCCTCAGCCAGCAACGACATAACCAAAAAATCATTAGTCTCTATTGAGAATGAAAGACGGAAGAGAAGTTTTACTCACATCGGATACCTCCGGAGAGTCATGGAGTGTTGCAATGTGGGATCCCTTAACAGGATCCATGTTATCTCAATTTAGAAATGCCTCGCCTATAGCTTCAAATAGTCTTCAGCTGCTGAAAGACAGTTACCTCCTAGGAGCTGATGCCACAAAGCCTCGAATCCACATTTGGCCAGTGAACAGTCAAGTACCAGTTGCAAATCTTCGATTGACGACCCCTGGAAAGGTATCTGCATTGTCCTGTACTTCCTGTGGGACATACATATCAGCTGCTGTGGATGAAAAAGTCTTCATCTGGCAGACGTCAACAGGAAAACTTCTGAAAACACTTGCACGTCATTACCAGGCAGTTACGTGCCTGAAATTCTCCTCGGATGGGTCTCATCTGGCTACTGCCGGACAGGATGGTCTTGTCTTCATTTATTCGGTGGCTAGGGTCATCAATGATTATCAAGAGGCTCGACCTCTTCATGGATTCTCCGATCACACACTTGGGGTTAAGGGAATTTATTTTGGGGCCTTTGGTGCAAGATGCAGAATTGTTACAGTCTCTCTGGATCGAACGGCCAGGATTTATGATGCTAATTCTGGGGTGGGTATTTTTTTTTTAATGTTCCAGAATAATTTTAAAATATCTGAATTGGTACCATGAGATCATCAGTATTATCGAAATGATGTTATCTTTGTGAAAATCTCTTCATCACAGGTGCAACTGCTGACGCTAATCTTCGATGTACCCCTGACATCAGTCTGCTTAGACAAAAGAGAGTGCAGCATGTTTGTGGGTTGCATCAATGGACACATCAGGCAATTCGATTTGAGAAATCCTCCTCGAGGTAGAGAGCACCATGTACCAGGGGATAAAGAAGAAAAGGGAATTTTCTTCAAGGGTCACACGAGCAGCGTTAATAATCTGTCGGTGTCCATCGACTGCATCACCCTTTTGTCTGGATCTGCTGATGGAAACGTCAACATCTGGAACATTCCCAGTTGTCAGGTCATCAGGAGTATTCAACACAAAGGGGGAATTACTAATGCCTTGTTCGTTCCTCATTATGCAAATTTTAATGTGAATGTTCTGAAACCAAAACTACTCGTTAAACCTCTCCAGAGGATTGTTAATGAGGACAATGGTATTCTTGAAATTGTCAAATGTGGAGAAGACGATTTATTGAATCCTCAAGATTTTTTCCAGGAGAGTGGAGAGTACAGTGGAAACATCGAGCTCGAGAAAAAATTGTCTGAGAGTAGAGCGGAAATTGAGAGATTGAAAAAAATCAATTCGGAGATGTTTAAGTATGGAGTCAAGTGTCTTCTGCATAAGAAGTAGGAGGGAAATGTTGAAATGGAGGAGATGATGATTAAAGTGGAATGAAGTATATTCAGGGAATGGAATATTAAGCCTTCTATCCGTGAAACCTGCAGATTTTTATAATTAACTTCAAATGTAGAGTGATTTATTTTATATTCTGCGAACTGTTTAGAGGGCGACAGCATTCGATAAGTTATCTAGAAGTACTTATTAAATAAATAAACTTATTAGATAAATGAGAGTGAATGAACCTCTTCTTAATGGCCTCCCGAAATTTCTTTCTACTGCAGTAATTCTTTTTTCACGTTAAAAAAAAATGTTTAATTCTATGGAAACGATAGATCAGTGTCTTTGGAATAATCAAGAGAGCCGAAATAATCGGATTAGCTGTCACAACCTGTCTACCGGTGAACGATAAATAAGATGGGGTGAAGGGCTGAAAGTGGGTAAAGACTTATGAGATATTCTCACTGAGTCTGAGGGCTGTAAATTCCGAATTTTCGTGATTGCGTCTGTGGCTTCACGAGCAGAGAAAGATGATTTATTCAATTCCTTCGAAATCACACTTTAATTCCCGTATTCATTAATAATTGCTCATTATAAAACAATATAAACCAGAAAATAAAGAATTACCAGAATGACGTCAAAAAATTAATCAATTCGTTCATAAAGATTTCTTGAAAATTTCCGATAGTGCAATCTTCTCTCATTACTTAAAATTCATTATTGCTCAAAGAAGATGAATTTTTTGGTAGACAATATTGTGCTCTACCATCCGCTGAGAATTCGATATTGAGAGACTTTACATAATAGCAGATGAATTCCCTCACGCCCCAGGAGAAAAAGACTCTAAATTAATTCACATACTGCCGGACGAGAAAATCGATGGAGTAACAGAGTTAAAAGTCTCATGTTGGGAGATAAGTAATTTATATGTAATTCACCGTTCATCCCGTTTATGTATGCTACCCTCGTAATTCCAATTCATTAGAATGAAAAAGACGTTGACATCAGTGTCTCCGCTCGTATCTACTCTTCAAAAATTAATTTAAGGCTAAAATCATCAAAAAACTTCCTGAACTATTTCTGATAAAAAAAATTATGCAAAAGAAATAAATTTCCGCGTTCAGGAACTGATCCCCAATTTTTCCGAATTAAAGTTGAAAAATTCAATTCAATGAGTTCCATACTCATAATCTCTTAATTACACCAATAATAATAATAATAATCATTTCCGGTAATTTCAATTATTTAAATACTTTGGCTCAGAATATTCGTATTGCAATGGTGAATGCATACATCGAAAATTAAACAAATACTTCACATAAATATTTAACTATATATTATTCAGACTAATCCCTCTGATCTTCCTTTAATCACGTTATGGAGTGATAACATGGTTCGCCAATTTATTGACCCATTTTATTATAAATAATCCATTTACGTATTTTTCATTTTTTTTCTGTTATCGAATCAATCTGACACGTGCCAAATGAGACGGCATTTTCTCTGTTCGACATCGATTGAAACTAATTAAAATTTCTAGAGAAATATAAATTCTCGGGTTTCTTCGAGGACCTGTAGAGAATTAAATGATTTCTATCATCAGGATGAATATATTTTTTTAATTTCCGGTTTCATTACGCGTGATGATCTTCTGCATGCCCATGATTGAAACACCGCGGGGAGTTCATAAAGAATGTTATTAAAAAATCTGAAGAGAAATATTAATAAAATAAACGTGTTTATCTCAATCCGGTTTAAGCACAAACACCTTTTATCACTCATTATCCTATGATTTTTTATTTTTAATCAAGTCTTTTTGTCTCTACGATTCGTTTCATACAAATTTTACCCCGAATTCCGCTCGTTTCTCTTGAAATATGTATTCCTCATTAATATATATTATTAATAAAAAATAAATTATGCATTTACTTCGATAATCCAGAAGCTTTCCCAGAATAATTGAACCTGGGTCGGCAGTTGAAATTATTCTCTTCATTAAACTTGTTCATTAAATATCTAAGAAATTTCTTCGAAGAAACTTCTCAACTCGCCCCCATAATTAATTTTCCTCAATTTTCTCTTGAAGAATCCATTGGGCCCTGCATTCATACTGAATAGAAAACAATCAGAGGAATCGATATTTCAATCAAAAAAATTCCAACGAGGATCTCTTCCTGTTGTTCCTCAACATTATTATTTCTCTAATAACATGACCTGCATTTCCCATGACTCAAAGCAGCTTTTCTCTCAATAATCCGTATTTCAACCCTAATGACTATTTCAACATTTCGAAACAATCCGAGTCGATTTCTGGTGAGCTGATTAATCTCTTGCCCTTTATTCCTTCTCGATAAATTTTAGCATTAAAATACCCGTTACTAAATAATTGATCTCCATTTTTTAATACCAATATAAAAAATATATTCGCCAAGTGAATGTAGTCACTAGAAAAAAATTCAGATCTTTTAAGGTTGTTGTCGCGCGACAGTCTCTGTAAAAAGTTTATCCGCTGTAAAACGGGCCAGTTTAGAACACAATCTTTTAGCGGTATATAGTCTCACTTG